AAAAGAGAACCCGGTTTTGGGTGTAAGGTGTGGTGGGGGGTGGGTTTTTGGGGGGGGTTTGGGGGGGGCCCAGTATCAAGGGGGCCTTTTGAGGGTTGGTTTGAGTAAAACTCTTGTTTTTTAAAATTGCGGCCCCCAATTTTTTTTTTCTAACTTTTTTCACGGAAAAACATTTGTTTTTGATCCTTGAAACCACCCCCTTGTAAAAATTAAAAAAAAATTTTTTTTTATTCATCATAAAAAACCCAGGTGTTTTTCTTGTGTCTTTTTTCATCAAAAAAGGACCCCCGGGTTGTTGTACATATGTCTTATTCATAAATTTAAAGACCCCCAGGTGTTTTACATGTGTCTTATTCTTCAATAAAGACCCCCAGGTGTTGTACTTGTTTCTTATTAAACAATAAAGACCCCTAGGGTTGTTCATTTTGTCTTTTTCATCAAAAAGGGAACCTGGGTTTTTTTTGTACATGTGTCTTATTCACAAAAAAGGGACACCCAGGTGTTGTTCATGTGTTTTATTTCATCAAAAAAGGGGACCCCTTAGGTGTTGTCCATGTGTCCTTTTTCCTTCAATAAAGACCCCCCGGGTTTTTTGTCCCTGTGTCTTATTCTCAATAAAGACACCCGGTTTTTAAAAGTGTCTTATTATCAAAAAAGACCCCCAGGTGTTGTAAATGTGTCTTTTTTCTTAAATTAAAGACACCTAGGTGTTGTACTTGTGTTTTAAATTATCAAAAAAGACCCCGGGTTTTTTTGAAACATGGGGTCTTTTTCCCATCAATAAAGGGACCCCTAGGTTTTGTAAATTTTGGTTTTTCTCAAAAAGGGACCCCTTTGGTTTGTTGTAAAAGTGTCTTATTCACCCAAAAAGGACCCCTAGGTTTTGTCCCATGTGCCCTTTATTCTTCAAAAAGCCCCTAGGTGTTTTTCCAGGGTGTCTTTTTTCTTAAAAAAAAAACCCCCGGGTGTTGTACTTTGTTTTTATTCATCAATAAAGACCCCCAGGTGTTGTCAGGTGTCTTTTTTCATCATTAAAGTCCCCGGGGTTTGTCATTTTGTTTTTAAATAAATAAAGACACCTAGGTGTTTTTAACATGTGTCTTATTCACCCAAATAAAGAAAATCTGGGTGGTTTTTCTTTTTGCCTTTTTCAAATAAAGACACCCAGGTGTTTTAAGTTCCCATAAAAATTAATAAAGACCCCTAGGTTTTGTACATGTGCCCTTTTTCATCAAAAAAGGGACACCTGGGGTTGGTTGTACATTTTGTCTTTTTTCACCCAAAAAAAGACACCCAGGTGTTGTACATGTGTCTTTTTTTTTTCAAAAAAAGAAAACCCAGGTGTTTTTTAAATTTTTCCTTATTAAACAAAAAAAGAACCTGGGTGTTGTCCCGTGTCTTTTTCTCAAAAAAGGGAACCTTGGTGTTTTACAGGTGTCTTTTTTTTTTTCAAAAAAGGGACCCCTGGGTGTTGTACTGTGTTTTTTCATCAAAAAAGACCCTAGGTGGTACATTTTGTTTTTTCATCAAAAAAGAAAACCTAGGTATTGAACATGTGCCCTTATTCATTGAAAAGACACCTAGGGTTTTTACATGTGTTTATTCATCAATAAAATTGTTTTTACACCCAAGGGTCTTACTACCCAAGGGTTTTTACTACCCAAAGGGAGTCTTACTAACCAAGAGTTTTACTACCCAAGGAGCCTTACTACCAAGGGGTTTTAAATATAAAGATTTTTTTATTTTCCAAGAGCCCTTACTATCCCAAGGGGGGCTTACTACCCAAGGGTCTTACAAACCAAGGGTTTTAAACTATAAAGGGTTTTTTACAATCCAAAAAGTTTTTCAATCCAAGAGCCCTTTCTACCCAAAGGGCCTTACTACCCCAAAAAGTCTTTCCCAACCCAAAAGAGTCAAATATACCCAGAGTCTTACTACCCAAAGGGGTTTTCCCTATCCCGGGGGTTTTTCTATCCAAGAGCCCTTACTTTTCCAAGAGTCTTAACCCAAGGGGTCTTCCCTACCCAAAAGGGTTCTTACTATCCAAGAGTCTTACTACCCAAGGGGGTTTTTTATACCCAAAGAGTTTTTACTACCCCGGGGTCTTAACCCAAAGGGTTTACTACCAAAAGAGTTTACAAAAAACCAAGGGTTTTTAAACTATCCGAACCCCTTAAAACTATCCAAGGGTCTTATTTTCCCAAAGAGTCTTACTTTCCAAGGGTTTTTACTATCCAAGGGTTTTTCTATCCAAGGTTTTTACTTTTCCAAAGGGGGCCCTTACACCCCAAGAGTCTTACTACCCAAGGGCCCTTAAACCAAAGGGGTTTTTTACTACCCAAGGGCCTTTCTACCAAGAGTCTTACACCCAAGATTTTTACTATAAAAGGGTTTTTACTTTCCAAGGGTCTTACTACCCAAAGAGTCTTACTATCCGGGTCTTACTATCCAAGGGGTCTTATTTTCCCAAAGGGGCCCTTACTATCCAAGAGTTTCTAACCCAAAGGGTTTTTTTACTATCCAAGGGTCTTACTATCCAAGAGTCCTTACTACCCAAAGGGGCCCCTTTTACTACCCAAAGCCCCTTTTCCCCTATCCAAGGGTCTTATATCCAAAGGGGGAGTTTTTTACTCCCCCAAAAGGGGGTCTTATTTATCCAAGAGTCTTACTTTCCAAGGGCCCTTACTTTTCCAAGGTTTAATATCCAAGGGGTTCTTATTTTTCCCAAAGGGAGTTTTATTTACCCAAAGAGTTTTACTTTTCCAAGAGTCTTACTATCCAAGGGTCTTACTACCCAAAGGGGTTTAAAAAAACCAAAAGATTTTTACTATCCAAGAGTTTATATCCAAGGTCTTACAAACCAAAGGGGTCTTATATCCAAAGAGTTTTTACTACCCAAGAGTTTTACTTTCCAAGGGTTTACTATCCAAAGGGTCTTATATCCAAGAGTTTTTAACATCCAAGTTTTCTTACAATCCAAGGGGTTTTTAACTACCCAAAGGGTTCTTATTTACCCAAAGGGGCCCTTACTACCCAAGGGTCTTACTACCAAGGGTTTTTATTTACCCCAAGGGGTTTTTACTACCCAAAGAGTTTACTTTTCCAAGGGTCTTACAACCAAAAGATCTTACTACCCCAAGGGTTTACAACCCAAAGTTTCTTACTATAGGGCCCTTTTTTTCCCCAAGAGTTTTTAAACCCAAAACTTACTACCCAAAGGGTTTTTCTACCCAAAAAGGCCCTTATTTACCCAAAGGGAGTTTATTTTCCCAAGGTCTTACTACCCCAAGGGCCCCTTACACCCAAAGATTTCTTACTACCCAAAGGGTTTTTAAACTACCCAAAAGGCCCTTTCTTTCCGGGGCCCCTTAAATTTTTAAAAGATTTTTTCTACCCAAAGGGAGTTTTTACTTTTAAGGGTCTTACTATCCAAGGGTTTTAAATTTTAAAGGTTCTACTTTCCAAGTTTTTCCCGTCCTATTCCGGGAAGTTTTTACTATCCAAGGGTTTACAAAAAAGGGGGGTCAATTTACTTTTTCCAAGGGGTCTTACTAATCCAAAGGGGTCTTCTTTTTTAAAGGGCTTTTTTTATCCTTTTTTTCTTTTTTCCCCAAAGGGGTCTTACTACCCAAGGGTTTCTTACTACCCAAGAGTTTTTAACACCCAAAGGGGTTTACTACCCCAAGGGCCCCTTACTACCAAGGGGTTCTTACTATCCAAAGTCTTACTATAAAAAAGGGGGTCTTACTACCCAAAGGGTTTTAAACTTTCCAAGGGCTTACTAAGGTTTTTATTATAAAAAGTTTACCCCAAATGGTCTCATTATCCAAGGTCTTATTTATTTTTACTTAGAGATTAACCCCACAAAAACCTTTAAAGGGACCACAAGAGACCCCTAAATCTAAGAGGTTTAGTAGGGGGCCCTTAGTACCCTACAAACCCTTTTAAAGGGACCAAAACGAAGCCCTTAATCAAAGGGGGTTTTTAGTACCCTACAAGACCCTTCAAGACCACAAGAGAGCCCTATAATCTAAGGGGTCTTAGTACCCTACAAGACCCTTCAAGACCACAAGAAAGCCCTATAATCTAAGGGGTCTTAGTAAGGGTCTTAGTACCCTACAAGACCCTTCAAGACCACAAGAAAGCCCTATAATCTAAGGGGTCTTAGTAAGGGTCTTAGTACCCTACAAGACCCTTCAAGACCACAAGAAAGCCATATAATCTAAGGGGTCTTAGTAGGGGTCTTAGTACCCTACAAGACCACAAGAAAACCCTATAATCTAAGAGGTCTTAGTAGGGGTCTTAGTACCCTACAAGACCCTTCAAGACCACAAGAAAGCCCTATTATCTAAGGGGTCTTAGTAGGGGTCTTAGTACCCTACAAGACCACAAGAAAACCCTATAATCTAAGAGGCCTTAGTAAGGGTCTTAGTACCCTACAAGACCCTTCAAGACCACAAGAGAGCTCTATAATCTAAGGGGTCTTAGTAGGGGTCTTAGTACCCTACAAGACCACAAGAAAACCCTATAATCTAAGAGGCCTTAGTAGGGGTCTTAGTACCCTACAAGACCCTTCAAGACCACAAGAGAGCCCTATAATCTAAGAGGTCTTAGTAGGGGTCTTAGTACCCTACAAGACCCTTCAAGACTACAGGAAAGCCCTATAATATGAGGGGTCTTAGTAAGGGTCTTAGTACCCTACAAGACCCTTCAAGACCACAAGAGAGCCCTAAGGGTCTTACCATTCAGGGACGTTCTCAGGGAAGTCACACATGGTGGTCTGTTCATTGTAGACCTGTCCAAGGCTACAAGACGACAAGAAAGCCCTATAATCTAAGAGGTCTTAGTAGGGGTCTTAGTACCCTACAAGACCCTTCAAGACCATAAGAGAGCCCTATAATCTAAGGGGTCTTAGTACCCTACAAGACCCTTCAAGACTACAGGAAAGCCCTATAATATAAGAGGTCTTAGTAAGGGTCTTAGTACCCTACAAGACCCTT